GGAAACCCCCCATCGATGCATTATATTGCGGTAGCCGCAAAGTGGGTGCAGGGTGTGGTATCTTAAAGAGGTTCCTGGTGCAAAAGGTACTACTGATGAAGTGACTTGTTTCACTTGATACATATGGCTATGATACTATGGTTGTAGGAGAAAATTCATATTGCGGGGGTTTCCGGGTGCTGCAGTTGACGTTGATGATGGTGAGAAGTTGAGGAAGGAAGAGGTCGAAATGCAGATTGAAGTTGGGGGAGTAGCCTCTTTCCCTTTATTTTGTGCCAAGACCGAAGACGCTGTGATTCGCCAAGGGATCCACTAAGGTGGATTGTGGGGCTGCGACAGCGAGGGTTCTGTCCCAATCGGGATAGTGATTCCACCTGACCTCAGGGCGGGACAACCGGGGCTCACCGAGATCCCGGGGGTGGGATTTCTCCGGTCGCATAGATACATACATACAGACTGCCCTCAAGCCCCTTGTGGCGGCCTTGTGGGTCCCCATCCTGCCATCCCGCGTCATTCCGAACGCGTTCATCGGCTTAAACCCACCATCTTCACATTCTCTGTCGTTCATCCAAGCCCACTGCCAACCAACGCGACCTGATTACTGAGAATCCTAAGCCCAATTCGAATAGCCCGCCGCTATCACTACTGGGATTCTTCAACTACGCCGCCGGTAGACAGCCGGACCCGCCATGGCCGCTCCTTCAACCGGTGGCCATACATGTGCTATTTGCGGGAAGCAGTATCAAAGAAGTGCTCATCTACGCCGGCACGAATCCACGCGTAGGTAGTCAGTCTCCTTGTTTCCTCTTTTCATTTTTTTCATCCTTTCCGTATTTCTTCTTTTGTGTCAACATTTTGCCCCTTTGGGACTACAGCCTGTTCTGTTCCGGGCGATCTCGCCTACTTCCCGCCTGACAGTGATGACTGCCCGGATTTATCGGTTGTCGTTATCAATGTATTGTCAGTTCGTTCCAGCATTCAACGTGACAGGATTCACCTTGCCTCATCTCAATCAAGCTTTTGCGTAGTATACCAACCAGCCCGAGCTACATTTTAGCGTTTGATTGACTTCTTCGGGATTTTTCTTTTGACCTCGGTACTCACAACCTCGCAGACGTGGAATCCGCTAGGTACAAGTGCCTGTACTGCGAAAAGGCGTTCGCCAGACGGTTCGTATCATCTTGCGCACATCCATGCCGAAAATCACACTAAAGCGTGACAGAGATGTGTGCCGTAAGCACACAATCCACTGCCCCAAGAAACAAGACCAAGAAACCGTTCCAAATCTCAAGCGCGGCCAGAAACCCCGCGCATGCGACGCCTGCTTTCACAGCAAGCAGTCATGCGATACTTCTGATCCCTGCGTGCGATGCGTCTCTCGCAAGCTCCAATGCACATATCACCGGTTGGAAGAGAGCACATCCGTGATCACAGATGCATCCTCATCCACACCGTCCTCATCATTGGCCACAACCGCGGTAGGCACACCTGATAATGACAAGGACCGCACCAAAATCACAGTCGCTTTCCTTCTCGGTCTGACAAATCCCAACTCGGAGAACATACTCGAGTTCCTCGCCAGTGAAGCAGCTGCGAGAACCGAGGGCGATGGAATCGATACAACAATGAAGGACATGCATGTGCCCACGCAATACCCTCCAAACATGCTGATCGATGATGACTTCACGTTCCTCCCTTATGGGTTTGCATCAACATTCGCTCCCGAGCTGATAGACTTCAATTCCTTGGACGTCTTGTCAGAAAACATACTATCCAACACTAGGATGTCGTTTCTTGTGCCTGAAAGCCTAGAACCGCGATCAGCCGAAATAATCTCGGGATTGCAAGAACTTCATCACACTCTGGTTGCCACAAATCAATGGTATGACGGCACCTTTGATCTTGACACGGCAAACTCGGTGTTCTCGGCAGGCAATCTGTGCCAATTTGCTGCGACCTACTTCCGAGTCAGTCACCTCGACTTTCCTATCGTTCATCGGCCAGACTTTGGCAGTGACTATACAACCAAACAGCTGCTCTTGGCCGTTGGACTCTCTGGGTCTCTGAGATCACCCCCAAGCGACGATGCCCTCGCAGCCCGTGGCTATCTCACGCTTGCCGAGGAATACATTTTTCGCTGCCTTGAGCGTCTGATGCCCCCAGGCTCAGCGCCAGAGTTCACCCATGAGCTTGAAGAGACACTACAGGCAGCCCTCATGATCCACTCTGTTCAGTTCTTCCGAAACGACGTAGCATCGCGGCGGAAGAACAGAACCCAGCGACTCCCGCAGCTTGTATCGGCCGTACGGGTTCTCGGTCTAGCACAGACCAAACATGCTCCCATATTCCAATATGAAGAATTCGTGCGCAATGAGTCAAAAATCAGGTTAGCCTTTTCTTCCCCCTCAGTAGACACATCGTTGCTGACAGGTGTGCAGACTCGCCATTTGGACGGCGTTAGGAGACTGGCAGCAATGCGGCATGTTCAATACGCCGCCATCGATGACGCCTGCAGAGCTGACTTGTGATCTGCCAAGCCCCTTGGAACTTTGGGATGCTAAAGACGCGGCGGAGTACTATGAAGCGGCCAACGCTCTCGGGGCCGACGGTTCTAGGCGGATTTGTTCCGTCAAACAATGCACCGACGCGCTGATGGCTGAGAACTGGGTCGGCATGGGGAGCTTCCCGTTCCAAGATATCAGCGGATCCGACCTACAATTGTTAATTTTCGGTATGTTCGGCCCCTTTGCCTCGTTTGGATTCAAGCATACGCAAGAAGTGGACGGATCTGATGACAATAGCACTTAACGGTATGTTGGCATCGGCCAATCTCATGGGCGTCTTACCTGCGTGTGCACCAGCCCTATTGCGTGCCGTTTCCAGGTGGGAAGTCATGTGGGACACGATCAGGGGTCGCATGGAGCCCGCCGTTTTCGAAAAAGCAGGCATGATCCGGTACAATAGCGAGCTATGCTGGATAGCTAGAAAGCTCGTTCACGTCTCCATCTCGGGAGACAAGAGTTCTGCGTACATGCAGAAAGTTGGACACGATTCTCTTGTGCAACTGCATGAGTTCGTGCGTCAGTATCGCGATAGCTGAACAGTGTCTTCGATGGCTACCAGCGCGAGTGAGCCAAGCATCCATGCAACGGAAAGTACGAGCACGGATATTGCTGTCTTTCACAACTCCCCTTCAACCACACATGTACTTCAAGATGATTAATGAGGAACTCGGAACTTTGGAAGCGAAAAGTCAAATGTTTGGATAGTGTAGCCGTCTGTTATTCAAAGCTGATTGTGGGCTTTTCCAATGCTAGAGAACTCGCATTCAATCGATTCGATAAATCAAACAGGACGGCGTCAGGCAAGATTCATACTGATCTCTACCGCCTTTTCCTCCATCTTACTGGTAAAGTACAAACAAACATTCTCGCCAAAACTCAACTCTCAGAAAGCAATGACCATCAATCCGCATCAACCCTCGAATGACTCTTTCAACGTCCCTTGACGGCAGACACCAATATGATATCGCCGACAGAATCACTCGCCACCTTTTGAGACTCCATTCTTCACACTAAGTTTTACAAGTGACGCTTGCGCGCACAGCCACCCTTGGAAGCAGCGGTCGTGGTGGTGGAAGCGGCAGCAGAAGTAGCAGAGGTAGCAGGGGGAACGCCAGAAGCAGCACCGCTCGGGGGAGCACCACTGGGACCGGCACCGCTGGGGAAAGTACCGCTGGGAGGGCCACCGGCACCTCCGGGGCCACCGCCGCCGTTTCCGGAAGAGGTATCGACACCACCGTCGGCGTAGTAGTGGGCAGCGGCGCTGGCAGAGCTGGAGTAGTCGGCGGTGGTGTTGTATCCAACGGTGATCCAGGCCAAGACACCCTCGGAGATGTCGTCACCGAGCAGGACGTACTGGACAAAGGGGTCGTAGTCCGCAGTCGCTTCACCAAAGGCGATGCTGTCACCAGAGTTGAGAGTCAGCTCCTGCGTGTTGGTGTTGTAAGGCGCGACAGCCTCGACTTCCGAGATGAGGGTCTGGTCGAAGAAAAGCTGGCCGACGTGGTTAGTCACGCCGTCGACGTAGGTGTCGTTGTCCAGGACAGTGGCGCCCGTCGTCGTCTTGACGTGGATGTGGGTAGCACGGCCGGTGTAGTGGCCCGGGAACATGGTATCGAACTGGACAACACCATCGTTGTCGGTCTGCTGCACGCCGCGGCCAAAGGTCGAGTTCAGACCGCCCTGGCCGGTGGCAGAGACACCAGAGTACACACCGGTCGCATTGCAGTGCCAAGCGTCGATCAGGATCTCGGGCACACCCGCGCAGGTGGAGACGTCGACAAATTGGACGTCGAGATGCAGAGGCACGCCGGACTGTCCATCAGTCATCTCGCTGCGGATCAACTCGCCGGCAACCCAGTAGGGACCAATCGTGGTCTCGGGAACGACGACGCAGGTGGTGTTCTGGGCGAAGAGAGTGGCAGGGTCGGTATCGAGAGTGTATCCAGCGGAAGACTTGTGGTCGACAGCTGCCCAGGTGGTCAAGTCACTCTCAGCACGGCGGCGGATCGGAGCTAAAGAATCACATGTCAGCCAGGAATTTTGAAAGATTTTCCCGTGGAATCTCACCAGTCGCAGAAATGGCTCTCTTGGCGCGGAGCTCCTTGAGCTTGGCCTCGCGACGTTGGATAGCACGCTGCTTGAGGGCGATGTCGGCAGCCGAGCCGGCACAGGCGTCGAGAGCCCGGCGGGTGCTGGCGGCAACAGATCGGCGCAGGGCCATCTCGCGCTTATGGACGTGAGGATCATGCTTCTCTCCTGGGTGCGCAGTAACACCGGTGAGGGCGATGGCCGCCAACGCGAGGCGGGAAACGGTAACCATTTTTGTTGAATCGAGATGTCAAAGTTGAAAATAGCGAAAGTGAAGTGAAAAAAGAATGTAAGTTCTCAAGGTCTTGCTCAAGTGAAGAAGTGAAGGAGAAGTGCCTAGAATGACTGATGGTGGTGAGAAAAGAAACAAGCACTGTTGAACTTCGCCATGGCTCAACGTCTTTATGTATGCCATCTCCGGGAGGGAACAAGATAAGTCAACATACCCACTTCCTGGCACCCCCCTGTTTCTGGCACCACAAAAACGATGGGATCACAACCCAACCTCCTCATTACTATTAACTATTGATCCTCAACCACACCCACTACAATACAGCTGCCAGCCTCACTAGGGCATTCAGAGTCGCTGGATTCAGCCGTGATAACCTCCTTTTCACCCGCTTCGATTTGAGCCCGATGGATATCCCTGATGTTCGCGAACTTCGTATTGGGATCG